AATTTAAAAAAAATTTTTCTTATCACCAGAAAGATAAAGATCTGTACTATTTAAAAAATTGCGGGCTGCAAACAATTGTTTTAAAAAACAAATAATCTTCGATATCTTCGACACCGTTACTTTGATTAAGACTTTTATGTTTGTTTTGGTCCATACTATCACCTCCTAAAATATTTTACAATCTTTTTTTAACACCTTGTATAATAAGAGACTTATTATGATGAGACACTAGCATATGAAATGAACAACAGTGCAAACGTAATGTTTGTTTTATTCAACATTAAATAGAGTTACACTAGGCTTTAAAATACACGAAAATTTCTCCCGGTTAAATTTTACTAATTTTGAACTTTTCTAAACACTACTTAGCTCAAAATCGTGTTAACTGCAATCAACCAACACTTTTTCGAGTTTTTTGAGTTTAATGAACACTTCTGAGTTAATTTGACTCTATTGTACAGTATGTCCAAAATCAAGAGAAAAATGAACTTTTCTTTCTACTGAGTTAGAATAATGCAGTTTTAATTACAGATATGCTGATTTCAAGTAAAGCAAAAACTTTTTTCCTTTGCAGTTTTGGCCTAAAATCAAAGATACAAATTGTTTTCCTCTTGTAAACCCAATCCGGGGACATACTGTATATTCGTGTTAATTTACATAACAAATTATTTTTCAATCAAGTAAAAATGTATTTGTCCCTAGCTACTTATAAGAAATGAGAGTTTTATAGCGTGCGTGTAGTTAAAACAGTTTATTTTATTGCAGCACGTAAAGGATCAGATGCGTCAAGAATGTAAATGCCACGGAATGTCCGGTTCTTGCACTATTAAGACTTGTTGGATGCGACTTCCTCCGTTTCGAGTGATCGGCGACCTCCTCAAAGACCGCTTCGACGGTGCTTCTCATGTCGCCGCCTCCGGTCACCACCGGAATAACAACAACGCGCACCAAAACCGTCCACCCAAAAACCCCAAACTAAATTCCATTTCGAGCAACAGCATCCACAGCAAAAGGGAGAATCGCCGCAAACACAAGTACGGTTTCCAACTAAAGCCCTTCAACCCGGAACACAAACCTCCCGGAACCAAGGATTTGGTCTACTACGAAATGTCGCCGGGATTTTGCGAAAAGAACCCCAAATTGGGGATCCAAGGCACGCATGGGAGACTATGCAATGACACGTCAATGGGCGTCGATGGGTGCGATATCATGTGCTGTGGACGGGGATATCGTACCCAAGAAGTCGTCGTGTTCGAAAGATGCAACTGTACGTTTCATTGGTGCTGTGAAGTGAAGTGCGATGTGTGTCGAACCAAAAGAACTATACATACTTGCGTTTAAATTTAGCAATTTTACGCTTTATTCACTTGAATTTGGTTCATATTTTAGTGATTATTCCGAAATTAAAAATTCATTTTATGTGAATAAAGCTAGGGGAGCCCGGTGCGAGTTAGGATTAACTTATGACAGGCCGAACGCTTATCTATCAGTATTAGAAATTATTGACATTATTAATGTAAAAGACTGATTTGAAATTTGTTTTGAGTCATATTTGTACATATTGAGCTAAGTTATTACGCTACAAGCATTAGTTTTTTATGTGGTTGGCAGGAATAAATGAGTGAAAAGTCGGCGCCTTTTTGTATTTTCTTCTACATTTTATATTACGTAGGTTTGTATTTATTTATGGAATGTAAATATTAAAAATCAGCATGTAGTGTATCTCAAATTTTGTGAATATGTGACCATTCTAGAATTTATACATTTCTCTATAATCGCATTAATTTATTGACCATTACTTTGTACATTAGCATTTGTAAATATTCATGTAGCTTATTTATGTAGATATAATTAGCAAGTATTTTTATAATTACTTTATTTATAATTAAACGTACTTGTAAATCAGATTGCTATAAAATCATTAATAAACAATTATATGTAATTTGTCGCCGTTTTTTTAAATTCAATGAGCGATTTTTGAAGCGTATGAATAAATTCAAATTATTTACGCTTTCTGAACTCGATAGTAGAACAAGGGAGGGTTAAACGTAGCAGCAGTTTCCAATCGACAATTCCAGAAATTTTATAATACCCCAGTTATTTCATCACAAAGGAGCACAGATGTTGTAGGGATGGGGTGACCACTATTAAATTTTGTAGACCGAAACAGGGAAAAATATAAATCGCGTCACTGTCATGAGACGTATAATATTTTAATAAAAACAATAAAAAAGACTAAAATTAGTAAAACAAATACGTGCAGTTTTTGCTGTTTTAATTTTACCGGTTGGGCAGTCAAACGAGAACATATTACAGGAACATATAGATTTGATTGACAGCTAAGCTTGATACGTGAGGTTGGCCTTATTGAGCAAAACAGGTTCATCATTTCTGAGCCAGCATTTCAATAAAATACGACCGAAATATTCATTAATGGTAATAGTATTGACGTTCACCAACGCCATGGGAAATACACAACCCGCATCCATTTACATGCACTTTTCTTGGGTCCCAGACAAAAAATTGCACTCGGGACGAATCTTATTAAAGTTATTAAAAACTACAGTATTTTTGTCAAAATTAAACCGACAACAGGAATGAGAGGTGTATTCAACATTAAAATAATTTATAACCCGGAAAATGCAGCGTCGAAGAAACCTAAATAATTCACAGGTATAAATTTAAACGGGAATGTCACTGCGAGAACCATGACATTAAAAAAATATCACTAATGAGCCAAGTCTGGCAACTAACTGGTTCATAAATTACAAATTACAATGACCCATATAACTTCTGACGCTGACTTGAAACTGTTTAACCAAAATCAATTACACAGTTTTGTTTTGTGCATCTAGGTACACTTTTGTGTACCACAAAGCTAATTTTTTCGCGGGTACGGTATTAAGTTCTAATGTGAAATAAAGTCTTGTGCATCATGTGTATTGCTAAGAATTTCACATAAAACTTTATAGACACCCATATTATTTGACCATGAGCGTGGGAACGCTCAATATTGTCACAAATATTCTTGACGTTCAGAAACCATCGGATTCCATCTACGCGTCCGTCATTAACTCGGATTTGTTCGGCCGCCTCCAAGCAAGGAAGATCCAGACTGGCTGCTTCAGCTGCCAACAAAAAGTGCATTTTATAGTAAAGATAAAACAAAGAGTAAAATATTTAATTCAAAAATGTATTCAAATATATAGGGTGTCTCAGCGAGTTGAAAAGGTCCATTAGTGACCTTTAAATGGTAAAATTTAAAAAAATATATAGATACTAATCTAGTCCATCAAAAATAAGACGAAAACATGCACTTTTTAAAAATTTATTACACAAAAACTAAGACAACTAGAAATATTTTTTTTACTACCGCAAAGAAGAAAGTACAAGGTATAAGGTTGTAACATTTTTTTAGTGTGTTGACTTTGCAAAGATAAAAAATAAAGGCGTTTGTTAAAAGTTCAATAACTTAAAAAATTTAAATGAAACACCCTATTTATTGTTTTTGCATTTAAAAGATTATTAAATTGTCTTTCTAAAATTATTTACTTTTAGGCGTTTATAATCAGTAACTAAAAAAATATTTAACGTTAAACATTAAAAAAAAATAATTACTATTGTTTCAGTAGCCAAAAAGTGCACAGTTTCACAAGAGATGGAAAAAATATCACTTAATCACATTTGTGTTAAACTAAATTCATTATTCTTTATTTTTAAAATAATTTTTTTTTTTTCATTTTTCAATTCTAGACATTGAAAGTTAATTTTGTTAGATAGACAATTTATCAATCTATTAGATTAAAAAAAATACATTAAAAAAAATAATTACTATTGTTTCACGAGCCAAAAAGTGCACAGTTGCACAAGAGATGGAAGAAATATCACTTAATAATCACATTTGTGTTAAACTGAATCCATTATTTTTATTTTTACAACAAAATAATTCGAATTTCAGTATTTATAACGACTTTTACAATCTCTGGGTAAATCAACGGCATTGTTGCTACAATTAATATTGAATGTTAAATATCTTTTCATTTATCAATTCTAGACGTTAAAAGTTATTTTTTTATAAAGACAATTTATCAATCTATTAGATGCAAAAATAAAAAATAAGGTGTTCCATTTAAATTTTTCTTAATTTCTTAATCTTTACAAATGCAAAACACTAAAAAATTGCTACAGCTTTAAATTCTGTACTTTCTTCTTTGCAGAAGTAAGAAAATTTGTTCAAGCTGTCTTAGTTTTTGCGTAATACGTTTTTTAAAAGTACATGTTTTCGTCAAAAACATTATTTATAAAACTAAGCGAAATCGATTAATAAAAGTTTAGCGTAAAAACATTGTTTTAAAATGCTACATTTAAAATTGCAAAGAAACAAACGGAGTTTCATTTAAAAAAACACAAGTTTGTATCGTAACTTGTTTTTGAGACATGCTGTATGCATTGTTACAAATTTTTTTAGAGAAGGGCAGCCTCATCGCAGTTTTAAACTACATATTTTATTACAAACACAAAAACATGTTACAGAAAATAGGAACATAAAACCATATTTTTTCTAACGGAAATTATAAATGAAACCATAAGACAAGAATCTCTAAAACCATAAATTGGAGTATAAAAGTGTAAAAGTTAAAAAAATATAAAAAATATATAAATTATAAAACTTAAGCATAAAATAACACACATCAGTAAATAACATAAACTAATAAACACTAAGAAAAATGTAACACTTGGAAATCAAAACATTAAATAAAAACTCTTTCAAAATACATTTAAAAAAACAATAATAAAAATAAATAAAAAAATTAAAGAAATAAAAGTTTTAAATTTTCTTTTTCTCAACCAAAATCGTCTATGATAAAAAAGTTAAAAAATGTTACTAAAAAAATGTTAGCTATTTATGCAACAAGTTGCAAAATGAGCGTGTTTTTTACTAGACGTGTGCAAAAAACAGCCATTTTGAACCGTGTTTTATACAAGATTTTTTCCAATTTGGTTATGCATCAAATTCGAATTTAAAATCTGTAATTTCAATAATTTTCCAAAATCATTCTAGGTCGTCGCTATGAAAATAGTGTTATTTGTTTTCTTTTTAACATTAGTGATAAAATAATGTCATATTTTATAACTAGTGATAAAATTAAACACATTTGACAAGTAAAATGACATATCATAATGGTTGTTTTTCACAACAAAATTGGAAAAAATATAGTTTACCGTTAACGGAATAACTTATTTCAAAAAAATGTCTTAGACTGACTTCCAGGGGGGGCACATGCCCCATCTTGCCCCCCCCCGAAACGACGCCCATGGCTGTATGGTTGAAAATAATTTTAGGTGATGCACTAGATTAGTATCTATCAATGTCTTATACAATTTTTTTTACTATTTCAAGGTCACTAATGGAGTTTTTTAACTCGTTGGGACACCCTGTATGCGCGTTGTGATAATAAATTAATGTTTCTCTTTAGTTCGCGTATCTATTATTAATAAGTCTTGAAACGAACAAAAAGCATGGAAATATTGATTTATTTATTACTCCAGCCACCGATAAAATTCAACCCTGTTTGTTGCAAAAAATGTTTGATGCATTGCTCTTGCAAAGCGCCCATTTTTTCGTTGCTACTAAAAACGTAGATTTATACCGTGCGAACGAGAATGAAAACAACTATAACATTTCTTTTACAGTCCTCTTCGACACTGTGTAATTTCAATGGTAATGCTCAAGACAGGTAAAAACCACGAATCTTTTAAGACATCAGTTTATATCAAGTGTCCCATAATCACATATCATCATAGCAAAAAGCACACTAACACCACTTACTTGGATATGTATGAAGTGGCCGGCCATACAAACTTTTTACTTGCTGATTTTTCCATGCTTTGGAAGAGAAAAAGAAATAAAATTGAGTGAAGCACTTTGAGCAGAATAATTAAATTGATTCTTTATGATCATCAGTCTTTTCCACAGCCGGCTTTGAGATGATGTAAATTTGGCATTTGACTAATTGCGCCTAATGATAAGTGATACCAGCTAATTAACTCGTCACTAAAAGGCTTAATGAATTCATCAATCAGACATTACCTAATCCCCGAGCCACCGATACCCAACACACGGCGAGCACAAGCTTCTCAGGTTACCAGTAAACCGGACTGGTAACAACCCGCTGATGATGGGCCAATTTGGGTCGTTAAATATTTCCGTTTCACAAAAAGAGGCCACGAAAATAAAACAAAAAATTTCCTTCTTCATCTGAATTCTTGAGATTTTCGAAAACTGATTTTTTGTTTTCACATTTTTGAATGAGTGTCTGTGCGTTTGACCTACTACTACTCGTACATTCCTAAAAACGTTTAGTCTTGCACGAAACTCATTAATAGTTCTTGAAAATGTCGACAATTAAGGAAACTTTCATACCGTCGTTATAAATCGTGCGAACAGATCTACTCTTCGGCGTATTTTTCAGTCAGAAACATTCATAGAATAACTAGAATAATTCAGAACCCAGAAAACTCGTGTAGTTTCCCTACACTGACAGCGGCCATACTTCACAATTAATACGAATTATTTAAACAATGCCGAGAGCATTTTGATGAAACGTTAGGCGAACGGCTGTAGCCGAGCTGTTCACACGCCTGAACAAATTTCTGACGGGGTGGAGAACTTGAGGCTGCATTCCAAAACTGGAGGAATTTGCAAACAACGCTCCCAGCAATGATAACAAAAATTCTATTTCATCTTGCTCAAACAATGCAACAAAACGCCAAGCAAACAATATACAACTGAATATTTCAACTTTGTTTATTAAAAATAACTTCGATAGGGTGTTTTGCAAGACCAAAACCTCTTGAGGAATTCTTCCTTCAACCTTCAAGCAAGACGTA